TTTCAGGTAAATATACAATTTATTTAAATAACTTAAATAGTAATATTAACTCCTCAAACCAGAAGTTACTAAAGTGTTTTTTTATCTTAAAATTTATAAGATGTCTGTATTACATTATAATCAAACTAAAAATATATTGGAAAATCATATACTACAAACATGTTGACCAAATTTAGTTATATTTAAAAAATATTTCTCTTTTAAGTCTATAGAAGCAAATAAACAAAACCCAATAAAATTTTATAAATATTAAAAAATTAAAATAATAAAAAATTTTGTATAACAAGATTATAGGACAAAGAAACATTTTTAGAAATATAATTAGTTAAAAAGAAATTAGATATTAAATACATTTTATACAACCTTTCATTGAAAGAATTTGATTTATATTTGAAATTGTCTGTTATTAAATTAGATTTTTTGTTTTCTACTATCAAAATCGAATATACAAAAATTAAATTTTTTTTATATTCAAACTATTACAAAAAACAAAAATACATGNTTTACCTGAAAACATCTCTTATTTATCTAATATTCATATTTATACTTTTAATGTTCTAGATGATCTAGAACCAAACAGACAATTAATGTCTCAATGACATAAAAGTCAGTGTTAGGTTACCATTAACATGATAGCTCTGGCACAATTTTATTTTATATTATTTAATCACTTTTTTATATTATTTTATTATCTTTTTTTTTATTATCTTTTTTTTGATATTATTTTGTAAGGATAAAACAATGAAAATTTAAAATGTAATTATTTTGGTTAATTAAAATTAGCTAAAAAAATAAATATTTTTATTTTATTTTTTTTCAACCCAATGCATGAATTNNAAGCANNNAAATCAATTTTGCTAAACGAAAACACACACATAACCCACAAAATGAGAGCACTTTTCACTCTCAGAAACATTTTAACAGACGAATCAGCTCTGGTAATCTGCGAAGCTTTCAAATTCAAATCAATTCTTCTTAAACACGAACTGGCTTACGTATTAGGACAGATGAGATTGGAAATAAGTTTACCAAAACTTATTTCAGTTTTGCAGGATGAATCAGAAAATGAAATTGTCAGACATGAATGTGCAGAAGCATTGGGTAATTTTGATTATTCAGATAAAGAAAGTATTCTTTCTTTACTAAAAAAATATTTTGATCATAAAAGTATTCCTTTAAGAGAAACTGCTTTTTTATCTTACAATAAATTGAAAAGAAATGAGAATAAAATATCTATTTTTAACTCATATGATCCTACAATGCCATTACAACAAAAGTATTCTTTTGAGGAAATAAGTGAATTATTTCTTAACAAAGACACTGATTTGTATCTTAAATATGAGATTCTTTTTTATTTAAGAGATCTTTGCTCAAAAAAAGCAATTCAACTTTTAGGACTGGGAATGAATGACCAATCAGATTTGTTTAAACATGAAATAGCATTTGTTATTGGACAGATAGCAAATAATAAACCAGAGAATGTAAGTTTAGCAGTAGATTTTTTGGTAAAAGAGTTAGAAAATAGAAATAATCATCCTATGGTGAGACATGAATGTGCTGAGTCACTTGNTGCCATTTGTAATGATTACACTAATGAAGTACTTTTAAGATATGTTGATGATGAGTGTGAGGTTGTTAAGGAGAGTTGTTTGGTTGCTTTGGATATCTCAGATTATAAAGTGAGTGAGGAAGGAGAATACTGTGTTAAGGTAGAATAAAGAATTAATTTTATTTATTTATTTTTTTAGAGATGTCTTTGGAAAAGCAAATCATGGTATTTTCTCATAATAATATCTATTTATGTAATTTAAGTTAGTCAACGTGGCCGAGTGGTTAAGGCGTTTGATTCGAAATCTAATGGGATTTCCCGCGCAGGTTCAAATCCTGTCGTTGACGATTTTTTTAAAAATTTATCTAAATTTTATGCATGTTTAGAAAAAAGAAAAAAGGAATGAACTGGGTTATTAAAAAGAAAAGAAGAGGAATGAATAAATAAACTCAGTGTATTAAAACGCATCTTTAGTAAATTTAATATTCTTTTTTAGGTAAATAGTGAATTTTAAGGAAATTTTTTCTAAATTCAATTTTTTAAAAATTTTTTGTTTTTGTTATCCCAAAAAAGTAATTTTTTTTAAAACTATTTTTCTTAAACCTTATGTTTCTTGCTTTACATATAAATTTAAAAATTAAAAAAACAAATAAATAAAAATATTTTATTTTTTTTAATCTATAAATTGATATCATCTTTATAAATAAAATAAACCAATGAAAAAAAATTTAAAAAAAGGAAAAAAAAATTAATCATGGACAAAACCAATAACCAAAAATACAAGCTATTCTTTCTACCCGCGTACATCGTATCAGAGATCCTCTGGGTAATTTTCTCAAGAAAATACCAAGATATCTCAGCCAATTCGATAGATCTAATGATCTGTTACGGACTAATTATAAGCACATTTGGTTTTATTTTCTGCGATAAAAAGAAATTGAATTTAAAGAGTGTGTTATATGTTTGCTTGACTATGTCACTTTTCTTTGTTGAACATCTTATTTATTTAAAGAAGCAGAGTCAGTTAAAAAGTGTTTATGTGACTGTTTTTCAGCAACCAAGACTGATTTTCTTATTTTTGGTGAGTAAGTTTTATTTTAAAGATACGTTTAGTAAAAGTGAGGTGGTAGGATTGATAGGAATAGTTATCTCTTTGCTTGGATTTGTTACTGCTAAGAATGAAGATAAACACTTTNCAGGCACAAATGACTCATTTTTCAAAACTTCGTTAATGTTAATATGTGCTGCGTTCATCGGCGGAATGGCGTGTTCCTCTTTTGAAGTGTTTGTTAAACCATTAAAATACGACGTATTCAATTATTTCTTTGTATCTCATCTGGTTTACATTTTTTATGGAGTATCATTCAGATTTGTAGAAAATAATTTTCAACTGAGTAATTCTGCAGTGTACAAAGATAAAAGATTTTATTTTTTAGTGATTCTACAAGCTTTACATGCCATTTCTACTATTATGCTGTCTTATGGGTATAAAATGGTGCCTAGGTTTATGTTTATGGTTGCAACAAAAGTAACCTCTGATTTAGTATGTGTGTTGGTTAATAAGGTAGTATTAGAATGGTATGGGTATTTCTTTTATTTTATTTGTATTGGGAGTGTTGTGCTTTACAAGTATAAGCATATTAAAGAATATTTTGAGAAATAAATTTAATTAACTGTAATTTATTTATTGTATATTTTTTTTAATTCTTTTTTATAAAATAGCGAATAAAATATTAAAAAAAAGATCCTTGTTGAATAAAGTAATAAATAATTCACAATTAATTACATGTTATAATTAAATTAAATGTGTATTATATAATTAAAAATATATGTAAAAATTATAATACTTCATTGTTAAATAATATTATTTTTTTAGATCAATTTTAATTTTAAGATTTTATGTATGATTTTAGTATAAAAATAATGATCAACTATTTAAAATTATTCTTATAAATTAAAAATATTCTTTGTTACTGTCTAATCTGCTGTTATTATCCCATTCTAAAGGTACTTTTGAATGAGGGAAGATATTTTTACCAGTAAATCTGTTTAGTTTTTTTAAAAAAATTACTTTTTTAATATGTTTAAATATATAATATGCTATATTAATTTTAAATTTTAATTTAAATGGGGGTTTTCATATTCTTATTCAGATTATTTGTTTATGCTTCCCCTTTAAATTTTCTGATAGCAACACTCTTTCTTTAAACTTTCTTATCAAAAATTCTCATTAGCAATGGAAACACACACTGGCATTTAAAATTATAATCTTTTATTAAATTTTGTAAATCTATGATCTTTTTAAAATTTTAAATAATTATGATGATTAAAGATTTAAAATATATAAATATATTTTTAAAAAAACACTAATATATTTCTGAGTATTTAAAAATAAATTAAAAATAACAACAGACGGACTTAAGTTAATAAATTTATCATCTTTTTTAAAAAATAAAAAAATTAGTTTTTTATTAAATTAATATTTTTAAAATAAATTTTACATTTTTAAATTAAAATATTACAATTGAATAAATAATTTAATTTTTTTATTAAATTAAACCCTAATGACTGAAAAAGTGACAATAATTGGTTCAGGTCCATCTGCTTACCAAGCATATTTATACCTAAAAGACCTCAATCCATTACTAATAGAAGGAGAAATAGTAGGTAACAATGGTCCAGGTGGTCAACTTACTACTACCACACAAGTAGACAATTATCCTTGTCTGATAAAAATAGATGGAAATGAACTGGTTGATTTATTCAAAAAACACTGTTCATTTAATGATAAATCAGCAAGACTTTTAAAAGAAACAGCTTTAGAAATAAAAAAAGAGTCAAATTATTTTATAATAAAAACAAAATCAAAAGAAATAAAATCTTTTTCTGTTTTAATAGCCACAGGTTCATCAGCCAAAAGACTTGAAACAGANGGAAGTGATAAATTTTGGATGAAAGGAATCTCTTCTTGTGCAGTGTGTGATGGATTTGCTTTTATGGATAAGATTATTGCAGTGGTAGGAGGAGGAGATAGTGCCATGGAAGAAGTACTTTACCTTTCTTCTATTTGTAAAAAAGTGTATTTGATTCACAGAAGAAAAGAATTTAGGAGTAGAAAAGATAATTTAGAAAAAGTAAAGAAACTGTCAAACGTAGAATTTAAATTAAATTTTGTCATAAACAAAATTACAAACAAAGAAGAAAATGTCAAAATTGTCAATGAAAATGAACAAACTGAAAATTTTAACAAAAATTTTGAACTGATTGGTGGATTAGTCTTAGAAGACGTAGAAAGTAAAGAAAAATCACTTTTGAAGGTAGATGGGTTGTTTTATGCAATTGGTCACAATCCTAACTCATGGTTTGCCAAAGATTTAGGTTTAGAGATGACAGAAGATGGCTACATTCTCACCAATGAAGATAAAAGTACCTCTGTGAAAGGGATATTTGCATCTGGAGATGTCCAAGACAAGATTTTCAGACAAGCCAACACAGCAGCATCTTCTGGTTGTGTAGCAGCATTAAATCTAAGAAAATATTTACAGAAAGAAAATTTAATAAAAAATAATGAATAAATTTATTAATTTTA